TGATTCACAGTGAGAGAATTCTGCCTTCTATGCAGGAGACCAATGAGACAACAGGAACATCACAATATATGGAGAAGAGATAGAAATAGCCAGTGACTTCATCTTGTCTGGATCCACAAGCAACACCCTTGGCACCAGGAAACTCAGCAGCCAGGAAATCAAAAGACATTACCGGGAAAATCAGCCATCCGGCAATCTCTCCAAAGCACAGACGAACAAAGATGTCAGTTTGAACACTAAGGTGCACCTGAGCCAAACCATGATCTTTCCAATGACTTGCTATGCATCTGAGAGCTGGACAATGAATAAGGATGACAGAAAAAGAATTGATGCCTTTGAGTTACGGTGTTAGAGAATAATGCTATCTATCCCACAGACTGCCAAAACAAATATGTCTTGGGAAAAGTGCAACCAGGGTGCTCCTTGGAGGCAAGGATGGTGAAGCTTCATCTCACATACTTCTGACATGTTGCTCAGAGAGGTTATTCCCTGGAAAGGGACATCATGCCTAGAAAGGTAGAGGGACAGTGGAGGAGAGGAAGATCCTTAACAAGATAGACTGACACAGTGACAGTAACAGTGGACTTGCGTGTGTCAGAGATGACAGGGTAGGGTTCAGATATGTTGTACATAGGGTCAGTATGAGTCATAGTCAACTCGATGGCACTTAACAAGGTAGGAGACGCAGGTTCAAGTCTAGTGAGTTCATCTCACATGCAGTCAACCCTCAATCTGTGAGAGGAGACTTGCACATCGCAATGATGCTAAACAGATGTCAATGGGGCTTCCAGGTTGGGATGAACTAGGAAGAAAGGCCTGGAGATCTGCTTCCCAAAATAAAACAACAAAAACCCTACAGAGCGCAATGTGAAGAGAGCACGATCAGTCATGAGGCTGACGCAGGACCAGGCGGTGCATGCGGTCTGTGATAAATGAGAGGCTGACTGGACAGTAGCTAACAACAGAAGGTAGACAAGGGCAAGACGAGGGAGGGCCTGGAGTGTGCTTCCCAGGAGAGCAGACCTTCCCCTGAGATTGGCGTGTGGAGGAAGAGTTGGAGGAGGTGGGCAGGGACACATCAGCCATGGCTGACCAGAGACCCGCCAGGCTGCCAAACAGAAGTCACTACAGATTGACTTCCTATGTTGTCATACATACTACTAGAAATCATAAAAATCTTCAGGGAAGACGGCACTTTTCTGAGAAAACTTTCTATTCAAGATGACAACTTCAGGAGCTTTGACTGCAAGCTGCCTTGCTGGCAAACAGGGACAGGTAAAAGCAGTTCTAACTCAACAGCCTTGTCTTTGTAGCTCCTGTCTGGCCAGGGAACAACTCGGCTCTCCAGCCTCAATCCATGTCCATTCATCCAACATCCCCCATTAGGTAGGCAATGGGGATGCAGGACCCAGTGTGTGGAGCCTCCAGGTGTAGGGCATGTTCCTTCCAGTCAATAGCCACTATGTTACTTTGAGCAACACAGCTCTTTTCAAAGGTACCAACCAGAGGTCTGTAAACGTCTCCGCCCCCACTGGCCTCCCAGGACAGTGCCCAGCACATGGCCTGACCTTCAGAAAGAACTCAGAAAACACAGGGTGCTGAGGAAGAGGAAGGATGATGTAAGATGAGAAGTTTCAAACTAAATGGAATTTGGAATTGTCCCTGGATTTCTGTTATCAGACCCTCCCTAAGCTCTCAAACCCCCAAACCAGATAGATGTTTCCATTTTCATTCTATTTGCTTTAGTTCCCTAAGATGATTTTATCCCAAAAGGTCACTTAGTTAAGACAAGGGCAGATGATACAAAAGTTGTTGGAATCCAGGCCTGCAAGCAACAGGGTTCCCTGGAGGATCCTTCTCAGATCTCTCAGAACATATTGGGTGCCCACCCAGCCCTGGCCCCAAAGGGAGGCCGGCAGGATGCCAGCTCCCACCCCAGCTCCAAAACAAACAAGACCCTTCCCACTGAGGCTACTACACCTATGAGCGGTCCGGTTAGGGGCAGGGTTTCTAGGCCCAAGAGCAGGTCTCCGTGGAGTCCATTTTCCCTGTTCTGCTAGTTACTGTGGGAGACAAGGAGCAGACATCCAGGGTCCCCTGCAAGTACAGCAAAGCTGGAAGGACAACAGAAGAAGCCAGGAGAAACCACAAGGCCTGGGTTCAAGGCCAGCTAGCTCTGCTGGCTGTCACGTGCCTGTTGCATCAAGGCCTGTGTCGGTGTAAGCCACGTGCTTCATTTCCCCCAAAATGAGACTATAGCTATTTCAGTAAACGTCTAGTAAAGGCCCTGGTCTATGACTCCATTTATTTAACATGTATTATGTGTCCTACAGGCATTCTCTGATGCTCAGACTAAGTGCTGGCCTGCTAACCAGAAGGTTGAGAGTTGGAACCTTCAGTCACTCCACGGGAGAAAGATGAGGTCCTCTGCTCCTGTTTAAGATTTACGGCCTTGGAAAGCTGACAGCGAGTCACCATGAGTCAGAACCACTCTATGGCCCGTAGGGTCACTATGAGTCAGCACTGGCAATGAATTTCAGTTTATGTGGCAAGAAGCACTATGAAGGGTGGGCATTTTCCACACATTTTCTCATTTAAAATCTCAAAAGCATAAAATATAATTATAGAAAAAAAAATCTCAAAAGCTTGATAAAAAAAAGATTATAATATAGATATGAAAACTTAAGGTGGACTGTGGTGCAACTCTCATTCCAACACTTCAGGTTGGTAAGATAAATCAGACAGGTACAGATATTCAGATGGCCAACAGACACATGAAGAAATGCTCAAAATTACTTGCAATAAGAAAAATGCAGATCAAAACCACAATGAGATACCATCTCACCCCAGTAGCAATGGCAAAGTTTAACAGGACAGCAAGTAGTGAATGTTGGAGATGATGTGGTGAGATAGGAAGTTTTTGTTTTGTTTTTAGATTTTAATGAAAGTTTATCAAGAACAAGGATTTCCATTCATTCATTGTTGCACATTTTCCTCCCTGTGCCCTCTGTCCCTCACTTCACTTTTTTCTTTGGAAAAAAAATTCTTCCATTGTTATACAGTCCCCCCCCACCACAACCACTTTACCATGCAACTCTTATTCTGGATTTTTGTCATGCCAGTAATACCTAATCATGTATTCCTTTTATACAGTTCTCTCCCTTATCTGTTTAAATGACATGTACATTATTTACCCCCCTCTTTTCTGTTTCCCCCCAACCCCCATATCAGTACTATTCTATAACAGTGGCACTATGCAGTCTTTGTCTTTTTGTGACTGAGATATTTCACTCAGAATAATGTCCTCCAGGGTCACCCATTTTGTATAATATTTCATGAGTTCTTTATTTTTCAGTGCTGCATAATATTCCATTGTGTGACTATACCAGAGCTTCTGTATCCACTCATTTGTTGATGGGCACTTGGGCTGTTTCCGACTCTTTGCTACTGTAAATAAAGCAGCAATAAACATGGGTGTGTAAAGATAGGAACTCTTAATACACTGTTGGTGGGATTGTAAAATGGTACAACCATTCTAGAAGGCAGTTTGACATTTCCTCAAAAAGCTGGACATAAGGGGAGCTCTGGTGGCCTAGTGGCAAGAAGCTGCACTGCAATCCCAGAGATATGTGGTTCGAATCCACCAGAAGCTCTGCCAGAGAAGGAGGGACAATCTCCTCCTGTTCCAGTCAGATCCTATTTGACGGTACATACACACAAATAATAAAATAAAAATTAAAAAAGTTGAACATAAAAATTCCCTATGACCCAGCTATTCTACTGCTTGGAACATACTCTGAGAAAATTAGAACTGAGACACAAAAGATTAGTATGCCAATGTTCATAGCAGTGTTATTCAGCATCGCAAATCACAATAAAAAGTATTAGAAGAAAAAAGTATTGTTGTTGTTATTGCCGTTGAGTGGGAACAGTCTCATAGCTGTGGGTTTTCAGAAGCTGTAAATGGCACAGGAGGAGATTATCCATCTTTCTCCCTGGGAGCAGCTGGTGGGGGGGCCGGGCCGGGTGGAGCGGGATATCATGCTTGGAAAGGTCAGTGTTAAGGAGGGACCTCAACGAGATGGTTTGACACTATGATGTAACAAGGGGCTCAACTATGTTGGAGATAGTGAGAGTGACATAGGATAGGGCTGGGTTCAGATTCTTGTTCACAGGGTTGTTGTGCCTTATAGTCAACCTGATGGCACATAACACCTCCACCCGGGAGGAGTCTGCCCAACTTCCTCCCCTAGAGCAGCCAGCAGATTCGAACCACCTGCCTTTGACTGTGCATTTCTTTACCCACTAGACCACCAGAATTTCCTGAATAAAGAGCTTGTAAGGCTAAAGTTTAAGTTAAAGGTCAAACTGCTCGTAAATGTAGAGCTGGGATTTGAACTTGAGACTGTGGCTTCACACTTATGTGCCTTTAACCACCTTATTACATGAGGACTAAAATTTCTAGCTATTGGTTAAGATTGCTGAGACCACAGACAATCTATAAAAGAGACGGACTCTCCTAAGAGGTAATTTGTCTTTATTTCCCAGAGCTTCAATCTCACAGCATGGTCTGTGCCAGTCTTTGGATGATGCCAACTCACAGTCTGTCAGATCACATGGCACCAAGATGCTGAGACTCCAGAGGCCCAGCCAGAAGCCCACCACGCTGTGGCGCTCCAGCTGTGGCAGTTTCTAAAAACAGCTCTGGGCAAGATGAAGAATCAAGGATCCTCAGGCACTTGGCCCTCTTTCCAGGAGCGCGGGATACAGCCAACACTCGCTCACTGTGCTCCCTGCAGGGGTTGGGGAGGCACTCCAGGCAGCAGGCCTCTTTTGTTGAAGGAATTTGGGACTTGGGCCTTTGGTCCAGTTTACCTCCAGAGCAGGTCCAGGCCAGACCCCTCCTCAGCAGATGAAGGCATCTTCACCATATCCTGCCAAACTTCTTCACCGATGCTGATGCAGAAGTCACATGGGATCAGAATCCTGGTTCACCTCTGCTAGAAACCATCACGTTGACAGAGGATTTCTTTTACTTTGTCCACAATGGTCTTGACCTCAGCCATGGCTCCCAGACCTGAAGAACAAAGTTCTGTGGGGACGTTGCTCACCAGACAAGCCAACAGTGTCCACAGCCCCCACAGGACTCGTGTGAGAACTCCACCCACCCAGCACCAGTGGCATGAGAGAGCCAGGACTGCTTCTGCCTGAGCTGGACCCACCAACCCCCCTTCAGACACACGTCCAGCGCAGGCTAAGGAATAACACAGTAACTACACCAACACCAACTACATTACTACTGTATACACGGGACTATACTGAATACTCTACAGATTCATCTCACTTAATCCTAACAACTCAGAGGGAGAGATTATGAATCCCATTTTCCAGGTAAGAAAACTGAGGTTAGGGAACTGCTGTGCCAAGGTTACTACTGATTAGGATTGTAACAGATCTGACCCCACAGCCAAGCCTTTTCTTCAATCCTGAGTTGTGAGAATGGACAGTAGACCTAGCACGGTACGCACCCTGGTCTCCACACACCAGCTTCTTGCTCACGCAGGGGATCTCGATGTAGCCGAAAGCCTTAAGCTGGCCCACTTGCTGTGAAGTAATCGGGTGCTCCCACATAGCGGTGTTCATGGCTGGACAGAAGAGCAGCGGCTTGCTGTGGTCCCACGCCCGGACGACACAAGTCTGCGAAGGAAGTGAGCTGTATTTTTCACCTGCCACTCCTTACAGGCTGTTCTAAATCCTACACACTGTTCTCCGCAGCTCCAGCTATTGATGTAGAATTCAAGGAGCTGCTTCCTGTCCCTTTAGCGGTGAGCTGTGCCCCCGCTGCCTCTCTCCCCCTCCCCACAGACATCAAAAGAGGTGGTAAAACAGTGCCCTCAAAGTAGACCCTACACTGTTCATCATCTACTCAACACAAGCTCTACCTCCATGCCAAACAAAGCCTGACTAGGAAACATTCTACATGTGACAAAAACCTTTTGACAGATTTTATCTCATGAACTCTCATGGGAACCCTGAAAAGAAGGTGCTGTCCCTGTATCACAGATGGCAAGAGGCAGATAGGTGTGGGAGGTCACCCAGACAAGGGTGCGAGGCTGAGCAGGCACATGGCCCCTCCTCCACACTAACAGCCTCCTGGCCTTCAGCTCTGCAGTCATTACGCCTGAGAGAAAAAACAGAAAAAGGACCAGAGACCTTAGGCCCATGGTTAGGAACCCAGCGCTCTGAAATCACACAGACTAGAGTTCAAACCCTGGCTGTGACATTACCACCTATGAGAACTTGGACAAATATCTTAATGCTTGAAGCCTGAGCTTCTTCACTACACAAGACCCCCTCAAATCCCTCACAGGGTGGTGTGAGAATGGAGGAAGAAAATGCTTATAAAGTGCTTAGCCCAGGACCTGGCTATAGAGCACAGCCTCGAGAAACAGTCGCTCCATTTATTACCACAGGCAGGAATTCTCGGGGCTGGAGGTTGCCTGGGAAGAAACAAACTATGGGCCCACAGCGGTGGGCCCTGGGCTCTGCCTGCTCCAGGTACTTCCTCCTGGGTTGTAGGTCCCTTGGGGAGAAAGGGGGAGTCACACTCTTCCTCTGAAGTGGAATTCATCTGGGAAAAGAGAGGAAGGGTCCAAGAGCAATGCCATCAGCAAGCTGGGGCCAATACCTGACACCCTTGGCCAATGCCTACCCTCTCTTGGGAACAGAAGAAGTGGGAGAGCAAACAGCCTCAGGATCTGGCTGATTGCATCATCCTGGACACCAGTGTTTGTCCGCCACCAAGTCCTCACAATACTGCAACCACGCTGTTAGGGATGGTTTCAGTCCCACTTCCTCCTGGCCGTGTACCACCTGCTGCTTCTTCAGAAGTTATGAGTATACCTAGACTACGTGCGGAGTTTCTAAGTGCCCTGAAAGCAAAGCAAACCAACCAGGACAGAAACTCCAGCACCTGCATCCCTTGTAGACCTAGCTTTCCCCACGTCATCTTGGAGCTCAGAGATTTCTGACTTGACCTCAACCCCTTGAAACTGACAGGCTGCAGGAAGGATGAAAGCAAAGTATTCATCCTCATGGTCAGTTCTGTCTGGACAGTGTGGGGTCCAGTGCCTCAGGCTCTGTATCAGGGACTCCACTCAGGCAGGGAGGAGGCCTGACTACCTATCAGGAGCCCAGCTTCCAGACAGACTGGGACCCAGAGCAATCACTTCCTCGTTGTGGATCCGATTCCTGTCTAGCTGTCTAGCCTGTCAGGTCCAGGGCTGAGTGCATGGGCATCAACCAGGTCAGGGTCTACAGGCTCATACCTAGCATGCTTTTCTAAGGCATCTCTGCATTTCTGAGCACAGAAAGGGAAATGACTGAGGAAGGGAGGGAGGGAGGGAGACAGGAGGGAGGTAGAAGAGTTAGCATCTTTTCAGTTATAGGAGAAAACATCTACTCAAAAGGACAGGGCCACAGACAATGACAGTAAGATCTGAGAATCCTCGAAAGCTTTGTGTCGAATAAAGCCCTGGTGCTTGTCTTAGGAACACAACCTTCAGTCAACTTAGATGAGGGAACTCCTAAGTTACCGAGAACTATGGAAGTTTTGAAGAACAAAGCTTTTGGAAGAAAGGGAGGAGCCCTTGGAGTGCAGACCCAAGCAGGGGTTCACCTCCCCAAAGTCCATGTGAACCTACTGGAAGCCAGGAGATTTGGTGAGACAGTGCTGGTCACACATAGCCAAGGCCCATGCAGCTGACAGTGGCAAGGAGCCTGATCTGTTCCTGTCACTTTCTTCCCTACCGGAAAGTCCATCTTAACAACTCTGTCCTCGGACTCTCCCTGCTCTGCACTCTCATATCACCCAATCCCAGCCTCACAATCTCTGTGCGGGTCTGCTTCTGGTCACCTCATGCTCTCGAAAACGATCCTCAATCACTATCAGCTTCTTCAAGAAGTGCCTTAAGAGCCCCTTAACAAGCATATGAGGAGACTAAGCTCGTGTCTGGTGCAATGACTAAGTGCTTAGCTATTAACCAAAGGCTTTGAGGAGAAATAAAACCTGTCAATCTGCTCCCATACAGATTACTATTTTGGAAGCTCTAGGAGGAAGTTCTAATCTATTTTACTCCACCCTACTCTATTATACCCCACCCTACTCTATCCTATCCTACCCTATCCTAACTCTATCTTATGGGGTTGGTGGTGGTTGTTGTTGTTGGTTTGACTCACAGTAACCCTATGAACAAAAGATCTGAACTCAGTCCTGTCCCGCGCCATCCTCACATTCCTGAAACACCAGCGACATTCAGCAGTCACCATGTCAATCCACTTGGTTAAGGGTCTTCCTCTCCTTTGCCGACCCTTCACCTTTCCCAACATCATGTCGCTCTCCAAGGAATAGCACCTCCTAGAAATACGTCCAAAATATGTGAGGCGAAGCCTCATCATTGGTGCCTCCTACAGCACTCCAGCTGCACACTCTCCAAGACTTATCTGTTCGTTCTCTTGGCCGTCCATGGGATGTTCCATGCTCTTCTCCAACAATACAGCTCAAAGGCGTCAATTCTTTTTCTGTCATCCTTATTCACTGTCCAGGTCTCGGATGCATAGCTAGTAATCGGAAAGACTATGGCCTGCACTACTCTTCAATAATTTGGAAAGGTCCCTAACTGCAGATTTTCCCAGTGCATTGTGTCTCCTTATTTCCTGACTGCTTGTACCAACAGTGTTAATTGTGGATCCAAGCAAGATGAAGCTGCTGACAGTTTCAATCTCCTCTCCATCCATCATGACACTGCCTATCAGTCCAGTGGTAAGAATCTTTATTTTCTTGACATTGAGATGCAATTCATACTGAAAGCTGAATTCCTTGATCTTCTGCAATAAGTTCTTCAAGCCCTCCTAACTTTGAGCAAGTAATGCAGGTTATTGATGAGTCTCCCTCCAATCCTGACGCCACATTCCTCTTCACAGAGTCCTCTTCAAAGGGTTGGTATGAGCCAGAATTCTGCTACTAACATATTTCACGCTTGACCCTCTAAAACATCCTCAACCAGCTTTTTTATATTTACTTTCTTCATTATATTAAATTTTGAAAGGCACTTTGCTGTTTGCAGAAGTAAAATTACCGATGACCTCATACATACATCATGCCTAGCACTGCTGAGGCATTGGTTCCATCGTTAAAGAACCAAGAAGGTCACTCACTGGGCATCAAGAATATGCCACACACCAGAGTACTTCCCCAGTGGGTAGGTGCGGTCCGTGTGCACAAGCGAGCCAATCACAGACTGCCAGCTTTCAGTGTGGGTGGGTCCCTCAGTGCAGGCTCATAAGGGAGGAAAGAGTTTAAGTAAATGGGCAGTAGGGAGGGAAAAAAGGAAGGATAGCAGTCCAACTCAAAGCATCCCAGAAAGATTATAGAAACAAAGGCAGCTCCTCTTTAAGGCCATTGTTCCCTAAGGTTCCTTAAGCCTGAAACAATCCCCATTTTGCACAGCTAGACTCTTCTATCTTCCATCTCTTACTCTTTCTTTCTCCCATTTCCCAACTAAATTTTTCTCAGATCTAGGAGAACAGCATCACAGCCAGTGGTTAAAACTACAAGAATCAAGAATGGAGAAGGTTACTTTTTCAAGAATATTTTCTCCTGGATCTTAGAGAAAATTCAGAGGGGGATAAAGGAGAAAGAAAGAGTAAGAGATGGAAGATGGAGAAGTTGATCCAGACCCTGGTGAGAAGGCAGAGCTGGGGAGAGGGGGTTGGAATGAAAAAGACAATGGAGAAGACTGAGGGGGGGCTCACATGGGCACCTGTCTGAGGGGTAAAGGGCATGAGGTGGGTACTACCCAGACATCACCATCAAGTGAAGTCAACCCATCAAGATCAGGCTGACCCACTTACCAATAAATAGATGTGGAAGAGGAGAGGTAAGGCAGACAGACTGGCATTCTCCCTCAGCAAACCTGGGGACCACAGTGATAAGTTTCCAAGGAAAGAACTTTGTCCACAAAATTCAGCAGCTCAGCAAATTGGGAGTGAGTCCCTGGGAAGGATGAGGGGACCAGGAAGTCACTCACAAGCAGGTTGTCACAGATGCCACTGGCCAGCTTCCCCAGAGTGTTGGCATCCAGAGGTGCTATCAGCATGAGGTCTGCCCATCTCCGCAGGTCAATGTGGAGAACTGGGTCAGAGCGGCAATTCCACATCTGGCAAGAAAAAAAGGAAATGGGGTGTCACGGTGCGGAGAAAATAGGGTAGATGGGACGGGCAGAACAGCCTAGGTACACCATCTGATTCACGCCGCTGCCCCAGGCCACCGCTGCTCCCTCTTGAAGTGAAGCAGGCGGGCACTGGTCGTGCAGCCAAGGGCCTGAGAGAAAGCAGGCCTGAGGAAACAAATGCCTCTTGTCTCCCTGAGCTATTCCCTTTATGGTTCGGTTTTCGAGAAAACTGACATCTGGCAGGGAGCTCCTGGCCTGTGGGCCTGAGGCGGATGCTTGGGTTGTCCAAGCCAATGGAAGCACTTGTGGTGGTGAGAAACGGTGGGGGTGGGGCAGGGAGGACAGCCCGGCCAGAAATGTTCTAGGGCTGAGAATGTTTAAAAATGCCTGGCAGGGCACCCCTGAGAGGCCCACACTCGCCGCATGGTGCACGCTGACTGGTGCCCACCCTCCGCGGGAGGGCAGAGGCAGAGTTGGCAGCGTGGGAAGTGAGGCGCTCCTGACAGCCTTGACGTGGGGAGCCATGTGGACGAGGGCGGTGGGAACAGAGCTCTTCTGTGGTTTCATCAGCCCAGATAAGTACAAGGACACTCAACTTTGGGCAAGGGGCCAAAGCTGAACTCTGCCTGAGGTGGGAGGAGACTGTGGGTCTCCCACAGGCCAGAAGCTAGACAGATGTTTTCCTCATTGCCTCTGCCCACTGGGCCCTGGCCACTGGTGTGAGCCGGGCCCGTCTGCTCTGAGCGCCAGGCCCCCAGGTGGCAGGAAGGACAATGGGACTCAGCACTGACCTCCCATTCATCAGCATCACTGTAGAGGGTGACAGGAACATCCTGGGGGCTGTAGAAATGTTTGGCTCGCTCAGTTGTGACTACTGCTACTTCCAGCTGTCACCAAGGAAAAAAAAAGCAGAGGGGGAGGAAAAGGGAGAAACTGTTACCAGAGCCACAAGCCAGAAGGCCACATGAGGGCCAGCCAGGCCAGCGCTTGCTTCATCGCTGGCTGGGGAGAGGATTTTCCCCTTTTTGGCAGCAGCGAGCCCCACATTTGCAAAGCAACTTCCGCTGTCACCCAAGGTCAGGCCTTACCAGGTGCTGAAGTTTCGCTTCCCCTTCTGAAAGAGGCTGTTGAAGAATGAGTCACCAACTGCCCAGAGTATATAAAGCTTCAGGCTCATGCGCTCAGGCAGAAGGAGGTCCCAGGCAGAGGCAGGCAGGCACTGAAAGGACTTCGAGGGAATGGTGTGGGAGAGGGCGCAGCAGGCAGAAGGAGGTCACTCAGGCCCACCCCAAGATGCTCACAGGCCGTGAGCTGTGGGCCACGCCACAGTCCTGCCCTCTGCAGGCCGAAGCACTGGGACTCATGTGGCAGAGCCCCTTCACTGAGCACTTCTAGGAACGCAGCCTCCTCGTGGGCTCAGGCTGCACACTGATGCCTTGAAAACCAAACTTGTGAGCCTAGGGCTCATAGGGCGAGAAGTACATTTACCTTGATGCTCCCCAAGTGAGGATTTACTAAATAAATGAATTATGCAAACAAGATTTTTAACCTTCTGGACAGCACAGATCGTGAGAAACACCACATTTTGGTGGAAAGGACACCTCATGAGCTGCCATCATTTGTAAAACGATATGTCAGACTAACAAGCCAGCAAACTAAAGGGGCTGAGGAGATGGCAGTCAGAAGGGGAAGGGTGTAGGAAGTCGCACCTTTAGGGGAACCACTGAGTCAGAGGCAGGAAGAAACAGCAGGGTGACACAAGTGTTGACCAGCCAGTGCTGAGGACATGAGCCACAGTGTCTGCACCAGGGCCAGCCTGCAGGCAGGTCTGGCTGGCCTGCACAGGACCAGGGGTAGGGAGAAGAAATTCCTGCTTTCTTTTGAAAAACTGAAAGCTCAGAGGATGTTGGGCCCACTTGACAACGACTTGCTGTGGCCTGTCACCCAACTATCCCCCCAAGGTACCTTTCTTCATTTGTTTCCTGCCTATCATGTGAAAAGATTACAGAGTGCTCTGCTCCGTACCTGAGAACAAACTCAGACCAGGAAGTGGGGAGAAAGGCGAACTGAGGAAGAATTTATAAAACACGGCCCTTCTTGGGGAAACTGGAGAGGTCTGGGGTCCTTAGCGCTACTGGAGAGCTATCTACTTGCCCATTCCCTTCACACTACCTCTCAAAATCTACCATTCCAACAGCTAATCAAAAGGCTAAGCATTTTCAGACGTTCAAACCCACCAGTGGCTCCTCAAGAGAACAATGGACAGTCCCCTCCTGGTAAGGTACAGTCTCAGAAACACATGGTGGATCACTAGAAGTTAGAATTGACTCACTGACAGAGAAGTGTGTCTTTAAAATATATGTATTTGTATACATTTCACTGGAAAAGATCCATATTCGTTCCAATTTAAAAAAAAAAGGGTGACCCAACAGAGTGTGGAAATTATCAAACAAGACCACTGATATCACATGCAAGCAAATTCCTGCAAAAGATTATTTTAAAAAAACAAACACAAAAACGACCGGAACTGTACATCTACCGAGGACCTAAAAGAAGTACAGGCTGATGCACATCCAAAAACTTCTCCAACAGGGTAAAAAGGGAAGCCACAGACTGGGAAAAAGTATTGAGTAATGACATGTCAGATAAGGGACTTATATCTACAATTTAAAAAATATTTGAGCACCACAACAAGATAAAGGTAAATACTACAAATGAAAACTGGGCACAGGATATGAACAGGCACTACACCAAAGAAGACATTCAGATGGCTAACAAGCACATGAAGAAATGTTCAAAATCCCTAGCTCTAAGAGAGATGCAAATCAAAACACCCCAGACAGAACAGCAAAATTTAACAGAACAGAAAGCAACAAATGCTGGCAAGGTTGTGGGGAAACTGGAATCCTTATTCACTGTTGGTGGAAGTGTAAAATGGTGCAACCACTGTGGAAGGCAGTATGGCGCTTTCTCAAAAATTTGCAAATAGAGATACCATTTGACCCAGCAATTCCACTACTGGGGATATACCCCAAAAAGACCATAACTACCACCCAAGCAGATATATGCACATCCATGTTTATCGTGGCTTTTTTCACAATAGCAAGGAATTGGACACAACCTAAGTGCCCATAAACAAATGAATGGATAGAGAAGCTGTGTATTCAAAACAACTATGAGATATCATTTCACCCCAGTCAAAATAGCAAGATTTAACAGA